TATCAAGCTCACAGAGGAAACTTGCGCAAAACATATGATCCATTCCAACACGCGCAGAATACGAAGATGAATTTTGGAATTATGGCATAAATGACGGAGGATGTCCACTGATCATGGTGAGAGACTCAGAGTAGACTGGTGTTGGGCGACAGTGTATCGAAAGGCAAATATCGGAGTTCGAAGGGGCAGTTGCATAAATTTCAACAAGAACACTCCCGTAAGATGAGCGGCTCACAGCACCGCCTTCCCGTGGGAAGTTGCAATTACGAGCAGGTGTGAATAGATGGATGAGTTCAACCTGCAAGCGTTCCACACAGGACCCCCCTGATCTAAAATCTGAAGAGCTATAACATCCCACGAGATAGTATGAACACGATATCAACTATCGCGATAATTTCCAAGCTGCCATAAGCACGGCGCCACACAACGTCTACCGTACTGGCATCCTCATGAAGTTCGTCATCCACGATCTGCTTGCGGAGGGCATCCACGTCCTCGTGACACTTGACACCCAGACGCCCGAATCGCAGCTAACCGGGAGATTCTGCTCGACGCGAACTATGAAGACTGTAGTCATCTCAGTCGAAGACGTGACACCATCGGCGGACGGGTCGGCCGGGCTCAGAGTATCCCCATTTCCAGTGGCCCATGACAGGATTCCGCAATGCCACTAGTTGAAGTCGGGTAGGACCCCTCTGACACCCGAGAGCGGCCTATGCCGCCGTCCGGTCGCAGCCAACTGCGCACATCCTGCTGACTCGCTGTAAGCCAAGCCTTCAGAAGCTACGAGTGAGTCCCAAGCATACCTCTTCGACGGGCCCAGCACGAGCTCCAGAAGAAGACCTTGGACGATGCATGCCATCTATTCATCATCTTTCTCCTGATCTCCTGCATCTGCCAACTAGCACACAAGATGTTTCAGTCGTGCCTCCAGCCGGGTAACGTCGCTGGACAAGTCGAGTATGTGCTTTTCTATAGGGCTATGAGAGTTGTGTGGCGTCTGTCGAGAACGGCCACCAAAATAGGTGGAAGTTTGGTTGCTGCATAGATGGAAAGAAGCTGGGGCAAACAGTAGGCCGTGGTACTACCTTTGGGGACGATGCCTGGTAAGCGTTGGAGGCGGGGTCGTAGCGGAAGTCGAAATTCGACGAGGGGTCCTTCGGAGGTCTTGGGCGGCTCGGGCAGGTGGAGTCAGTCTGGCACGGGCGCAAACCCGGCCAGGAAGACAGCTCCCAAGTCGTCTCTGAAGTTCCGACTCACGACGAAGAATAAGATTAAACTAGTAATGAAGACTAGCCAAAGGTGTTTAGAATGGAGGATATGTTGTCCGTCCATCACCTGTTGGGTTATTTGGGTAGTGACGCGCCCCCCAGAGGGCAGTGGTCCATTTTAAACCTGGTCTTGGAACCCCTGAAGATTGGCCATGGCCATTCAAATGCCGTCTGGACCTGGGGGCCGGGGAACTGACATATACATCACGTGGAGGATCGTCTGCGGTGCCGGAAAAGAACCGATTCTTAGTGCCAGAAAGGGCATGCGCTCTTGTTGATGCGACATCGGCCCCTGGTCTAACAGGGAATGAATTGACTTGTCATTCCGCGGAGTCCAGGGCGCTTGCTCTTTGGGCAGCTGAGACGGTCTGGGTGGTTAACGAAAGGGTGGCCTTCTGTGCGGCAGCCAGCGATTGGGAATTGGGGATTGGGAGGCTGTTACTCATTTGTCACGAAGCAGGTCCCGGAACGAGCTCGTCAAGCCGATATGGTTGATGTGTTCGATGCGAAGTTGCAACGAGGAAACCGAAGTCTGCGGATGAATTGCGGCCGGGCCGCTCGGGAAAGGTCGTTGGTGCAGATTCATAATCGGCATTAGCGCTTTCGACGGTGCACGCCAGCATTATTTGTACAGGAGTACTTTCAAAGTAATAGTTATGATGTACGGAGGGGGACGCTGAGAATGAGAAATGTTTGGTTGTGGTCCCATCAGGCGGCAATTTCCGCTGTAAACAGGGAAGGGCCGTGGTAGATGGCGTTGGTCCTTCCTGTGTGACGATAACACGTGACAGGAAGTCGTTCGAAATTGCGAGGTCCTGTCACATGACCGCTATCTTTTGCAAACCTCGTCTTCCCCTGCTTCGCGTTTCATTGCCGAACCAGCAGCCCAAGTCGTTGCAAACGACTGCATATATCTCTCCCTTTTCGTAAATGATTTATTTGAGAGTAAGGATCCCAAGAAATCCATCCATCCTCGGCGCAGCCCGCTGCTGCTTACTTTGGGAACGATGATGGTCGTCCTTGTCGCATCCGCCCCAGAGCCAAATTGATGGGAATCGCACTTGTGAAGCCGCGGAATCTATATCCCGTGCCGCACACCAGGAGAAGGTGCCTGGAATGATCCCCGAACGCCATCTGACCTTATTTCAACGGCCAGCTTCTTGCGCACCAACCAAATCCGTGGATCCGGCACTTAACAGGTAGCGCTGTGAAGTTCTCGGCTTTCCACGCTGAGAGAACCAACAGCTGTCAATTAAGAAATCTTTGCATCGTTTGAAAACGGCCACTGCGTTTGGAGCGATTTTGCCAAGAATTTTTACCTCACGCTGGAGTGCCGCATTCGCATGGTCTGCATCGGGTTGGTGGCTCGATGTCGATTTGGTGGTCCACCGAAAGGTCTGTCTGGATCTTGTTCAGTGGCTGCCAATCGGCATCGAACCCCTGAGCCCACTGCAGCCTCCACTGCGGCACGGGCCGTCCCTCCTGCAAGCCCCAAAACGTCGCGACCATCTGCAGATGACAGGCACCTCGGCATCTGACACGCTGGGCGGAAGAAATCAATTATCGTGCTATATCCGCAAATAATTGTGAGAAAGTCTGGAATTGAGCAGCAATCCAAAACCCCTAGTCGGCACTCTCCGAGTGTCTCTTATTCATGAAACTCGTTGGGTGAGTATTGCCAACTTCACCGCCGAGACGGGGTGCCGCAAAATCCAGCCAATCGGAGGACAGGAAGCTCGCCGGCCCTCAACGTCTACCAGACATGGCCCTCTGGCCCCATCGTCAACTTCAATGGTGCAATTCATTGAGATCATTGCCTCGAGAAATCTGCTTTCTAACAAATTTCCACGGGTCGCTGTGGCGGCAACTCTCTGCGTCTCAGACCGTCAAGCAGTCGTTGGTTGGGGCGTCACGTCCGAACCTGGAAATCAACCATGCACCACCCCACTTCACACTATGTAGCAGCACGGTCGCACTTCAAGTTTCCCAACCCACTATTTTGTGAATAATTCTTTTGTGAATACTTATATAACTAAAGGGAACATAAGGACCCTTTTTTTCCTCTACCCTAACCTAAGCTAGTCTCCTTAACTACTATATCCTTAAATAAGGGTAATAATAGCGATTAGTTCTTAGAGCTATTCACTATACTTCTTATTAAATATTCTATTAATCTCCCTTATATTATTTTTATCCTTTAGGTTCTTAGTAATCTTTTTAAATCTCTACTTAACTTAATAGAGAACTTAATTCTAAGGGTTTTCTAAGAGCTTAATATATATTATAAGGAGGTATAGAGATACTATATTATTATTCTTAGTTATAAAGATATAACTAAGCTATTATTAAATATATAGTAAACTAATCTTTTTTAGATATTTAATATTACTAATAGTAAGAGCTACGTTAATTAGGTAGGGGGTATATATAAGATTTATTTTAGAGGGCTTTAAATTTAAGCTATAGTGTAATAGGGGGCTACTTCTACTAGCTTAGCTAAGTAGCTTAAAAATCCCCTTTATATACCCTATAGGTTAGTTATAGAGGTTATACTATAACCCTCTATATATTTCCCCGTTAGAGTCATATAGCAGTTAATAAGGTGCGCCTCTAGGCGGCAAACTGCGAAGAAGAAAAGTTAGAAGGGAAGAAAGGTTTCCCAACCCACTACAAGTTTTCAGCACCATTAGCAGATTCTCTGCCCTGTGCACGACATCGGAAAATTGAAGCCATCGTCAACCAGGGTGGCAAGCGAGATGCATCCACCCTTGATTGCCGCCTCCAGGCCATGATGAGATGCAGCGACTACTTCAATTCGAGCCAGAATACTGTCAACAACACAAATGGCCGCCCAAACGGGTCACTTGTTTCGGTCGGCCGCAGCTTCATGACCACAATTCTTCCGACTTCGCGTCTGCGCCGATGCACTCGCCGGTGTTAAACAGTCACGGTGTCCGACGCGAGTCTTTTCGCAAATGCCGCAAATAAACTACAAACTTCGCTTCGCACGCATCTATTTCGCAAGATTGGACGACGCAGATGATCTTCTGCTACTCGGACGCTCGGCTGGTCCGGCGACACAACGTCAACCCCAACGTTCATCTCTAAATCACATCACCTTTGCGAATCATCGTGTGATCGAAGCGACCACTTGGGAAGGGAGGCGCCAGCTCGTCCGTTCGGGAAGTCAACACAAGCAACGGCCGAAAAGGTGCAAGTTCAAGGCTGCGAACCACCTTCTCCGGAACTTCTCGCGACAGGCAGTCGGGGCCACCTCAGGCATCTGCTGCCTTGCTCTCGTGGTTGCCTCCCGTCACCCCGACAGTTCAAGGAGGCACCACGCCGAGAGTCGGTATATCTCCTGCCATTGAAGAAGCATCAAAGCCACGATTCCACTTTTCTGGCGGTCGGTTTTGCTGGGAGTCGACCGCCGCCAAGACGGGACCAAGCCACGACACGTGAGGTGAGGTCACCCTCCTCCTCGATACCTTCCTTCAGTCTTCTCCTTCCGCCTTCTTGCGAGTGGGGAGAGGTAGCTGCACGCGACACTGGTTCCTGCCTGGTGCACATGCACCTGCCCTGAAATTCAGACGCACCTGACGAGTCGGATTTGGATCCCAAACTTCTTTCCCACCGTCATAACCTTCGCCATTCACAACTTCCCAAAGGCACCTCACTTCCTTCCAGACAGCGACAGTCCATCTCGTCCCAGAATCTTCAGCAGCAAACATGCTACCATCTTCCGGCAACCTGCTCCCCCCGGAGGTGCTGACTCGCATCGTCCACGAGACGCATCATTTTCCCACCGTCAGAGCGCTCTCCGTCACTTCAAAAACAATGTCAGCCATTGCAACTCCTCATCTTCTCCGATTGGCCCTTGCACAGGACCGATGCAGGATCCAAGACCCTGGGTGCCTCGTCTACGGCATCCAACTACAAGTCGGAAATCCCGTCGAAGACCCGCCCCGCGATGACGTTCAATCTGAGGACGCTTCTCGCAAGCTGCCCCGACGTCGGGTTTTGACCTCGTCCACATCGTCTCGATCGTCGTCGCTATGTCCTTTCCCCGAGTCCTGGATTACACATGCCGACCGTTGCGAAGAAAGTCTGAAGGCCACGGCCATGCCGGTGGTGTTGTGGGCCGCCTTGCAGCCACCTGAACTCGCCCTCAACTTCCTTGCCGAGATCGAGCATGTCGACCCCGCACATCTCTGGGCAATGTTTCTCGTCCCGAGCACACCTTGCCACGACCACGGAGCGTGGCCCGCAGACTTCCCCATCAGACACGCCATGTCCAACGCCTTGCACACAGCTGCCCAGTATGGCAACACCGAGGTGGTTCGCTGGCTGCTCGACCGAGAACATCTGGCTGCGTACCATCGATCAGTGCTTTGGCCCCATGTTGGCGCTGTAGCCAGCCCATGGGTCATGAAGCCGATCGACATCCCCGCCATCCAGCCATGCGTGTGTCGCTCGAGCCACCTCAAAGCATTCCTGGCCGCAGGCACATTGACAGATCCCGACGACTTACCCTGGGCATCGGCACTGCACATTGCCTTGGCCCACAATCAGGTTGCCACCGCGAAGCTCCTTGTCGAGAGGGGAGCCAACTGGGCAACCGAGCCTTACGGCGCGCGAGGTATCACTGCCTTGAGGATCGTCTGCGCTAACGAGTCGATTCAGTTTCTCGATTACCTCCTCGACTGGACCAGCAGTTCGCATGCTCGAGAACATTCGCCTCCTCAAGTCCAAGACCACAATGGCCTTGACGTCTCCGACTACCTCTCGGTAGTTGCACATGGTCCAAAACGCAGGCTTCTCGAAAGACGGCTGAAGGCTCTGGAGAAGAGGTTGTCTGAGTACAGATGAGGATGCAGCGAGACGACTTGTCAATATGGAGCCCATGCGGGCAAGCACGCCGCAGCTTGCAGGGGTGTCCTTCTTCCCTTCTAACTTTTGATTTCATGTTTTCGCACCACAGGTTATTGTCTGCGGGCACATCCTTCGAGCTGGCGTGTCTTCCGAATGCCACATCCTGACTGAGAATTGCACACAGACCCGAAATGAAGTGGAGGCGTCCGTCGCATCGAGAGAGGTGCGCAACCAATTATCTTCGGTCAGATGAAAGGCATAGGTAAGACCTCTGGCTGCAACACCCTTGCTAAATCGTGGCCTTGCTGACAAAATGCACTTCGAGCAGGAATCGTTGGAAACTCGACCATCGTCATCATCACCGAGCCACCGCCGCGCAATCCTCATCAACACCACTGCTTGACGACAGCAACGATTTGAAGCGGTTGCCCATTGGAGGCTCGAGAATACTGTCGTATTGGACTTGATATGGCGGAGGTGGATGCGATGGAGGATAACATGGTTGGCAAGAACAAGAGAGCACACGGCGATAAAATTACTCGTCGACGCACCGGCGGAATTGCTATTACTGGTTTCGCCTTGGTGTGGAATATCTTGCTGGATGAGTTCTGGAACTTATTCGACAAGGAGAAGGGAGGATGGTTGCATGTCAACGATGAGCATGCAGGCTGAAAGTCCCATTGGACGTGTTTCCTACGTGGTATGGAGGTTGCGAAATCCCCTCACTGGACTTCCTTACTGCGTGTCTTCCTACAGAGCTCAAAGATATCCTCCGATATGTAGCTTCCAAATGGAGAGCCGGAAAAGTTTGGAGTAACCCATCAAGTGCGAGTTGACTACAATGAAAGGGGGCAAAGGAGCTCCAGCCATTGCGTTTCTCTTCAAAATATTGTCATTTATCTTCCAGCAAATGGCAAATGTTAAAATCGAGCGGAGTTAGAGTAAAATGGAGCTCTCGCTGATGCTGAGAACAGTTGTTTACCCGCAGTCGATGGGATTCCATTGGGATGTCGAAGCATGTTCATCGTCCAGTTGGAGTGTCTGATGCAGTGAACCATGGAGACGCGAGTGCGAGAACAGGCGGAGCATAGATGTCTCACAGTCTCGTCGCTTGTCACTGCTTAATAGAATTTGTTGATTAATTGACGTTCTGCTGGGAGGCTGGGCTTCATTTCACGAGTTTTCGAGCGCAACGGTGTTCCGAAGGCGTTACGCCGGTTCATCACGGCGCTGTGGGGTATTTTAGCGGGTCATCGGCCGACCGGGAGGTGGGGCATCGATTCCGCAAAATGGACACGCGCGCCGAAAAATACGGCGGGTGAGCTGCGAAGGCACACGAACACCAAGAAGCGAGGAGCATCGTACGAATGAGGCTTTTGCTCGAAAATTCACCTATTCAGGCGTGTGAGACGATAATGAAGTCTGTTCTTAATTGAGCACTTGGGGTCTGGCGGCTGCTGGTCAGCACAGGTGACCGCCGACGGCTGTAGCTGAACATTGTCCCAAGGAGACCATGCACAGTGCGATGTACTGGAAATTACTCCTGGTCTTAGAAGTTGTCTTTGATAATCATCGGTTTGCTGCACTATGCAGTCGCAAGCCATGGCTTTTCATTCTGCGAGCGATAACGTCTGAAGCAACAGTGCATCAGAGAGCCTTGAGGCAATTGATGACGATCCCGAAATCCGTAGCGAGATTACGGGGGCTAGGATTTCTCAGTTCAGAATACCCTCGCGTTGTTATTGATCAAACCATTTGAGGCACTGGTAAACGCTTGATTTAAATATCAAGGTTAGGCGACATCAAAATACCAGAATAACATCACCATATTGCGGAAGCAGGAAAAGAAGTCTTTCTTTAGGATATGATAAGCCAGACGGCCCATCAAAAAAGCAAGTTTGAATTTCTGGAAGCAAATAAGCCCTATTCACGGGCTTCCCCTTGATTCTGGGGATCGGTCGTCGGCCGAGGGTATCTTAAGCAAGGTTTCAACGCCGCACTCTGGCTGGCTAACAGGCTCCGTCGAAATTCAGAACCGTGACAACGGAAGAAGAGAAAGTGGCAGGCCTAGTCCAACAGGTTTTCGTACATGGTCCTGTAGTAGCGGCGTAGCTCGTCGGGGTGGAGGGGAGGGATGGCATTGGCTGGGCGGTTCAGCTGGGTGACGAGATCGGCATTGCGGATAACATGGAGGCCGCAGTCGAAGCCATTTGGCTGTTGAGGGCACTTTGTCACTCAGAAGTCAGCATTCATATCCAGTGCTGGCATCAAAAGCTGAGACAAAAGCTTTCGGTCTTTCTTACCTGTCGGGTCTTGGGTTCTGGAAGCTTGGCGTCATTGCCCCAAACACATCGAAGAAACTCATAGAGGATCTTCGTCGCTTCAACTTTATAGCTGCCCGCGATGATCGAATCATAGTAGTCGATGGATTCGTTGCGCCGGCCCACGAAGACAACCCAGTGGCCGTTGTACGACACCGGTGCAATCCATAACTCTTTCTTGGCCAAGGAGGCGAAGCGCTTCTGCAAGATCTCTGGCAGCCGCTCATTACGGGATCGCCGGAGGATGCCCGTGTCCCATGACGACAATAGGCCAACAGAGGGGTTTTTGGAAGCCAGATGCTTCAGGAGAACGTCGATATTGATATCGTTCAGCCAACCACATGGCTCAAAGTTTGCCAGGGCCGTCTGGCGATCGGTCTGGGTTGGGCCCGCAAGGATCGCAGAGACGAGAGCATCGTCTGCTGTCAAGTCGATGACATCCTGAATGACGTGTCAGTATACTTTACTCGAGTCCACAACCCGTATTTCAGGTTGGTTGAGGGTGCTTACGGGCTGCGTCGCTGCACCTGTGGACTTGGTTCTGATGGCCTCCTGCTGGTGCTGCTCATCCGTCTTGGGGGCGCCAGACGCGGAAATGGTAGGTTGGCCAGCAGGCTTTGAAGTATCCGGTTCCTTCTTGATCGGGATGTCGGCTTGTTTGAGAGCTTGCCAGAGTCCAGAGAGATTGCCGGGCTGATCCGATCGCAAGACTGATCGAAAGAGCGAAGGGGTGACTCCGGTTTCTCGCATCTGCGCGGCTCGGCGGACATCGGATTGGCGAGGGACCTTGTCGTTGTCGGATGAACCACTCATTTTCGCAAGCAGATGTCGATTAGCTTGAAATGTGATGAGGATAGCTGCAATAAAATTCGTGGCTGTCGGAGGAGCTGGATAATCAAAGAAAAGCGACCGGCAAAGAGAGGAAAAGGAGAAGAGGAGGAAATAGCGAGACTAGGATTCGTAGTTATGATATCTTACGATGCGGCTAGCTACCAGACGCCAACTGCGGCTTTTAGTTCGCACTGTGCCGCCACGTCTTTGTGAGCTATATTGATTTGAGACTGTTAATGGAGCGCGCGAGGTGTGTTGTTTATGGAGGTCATCTGGGTTTATAAGGTGTTGGACCCTTTGACACGTTTTTCAAGATGTCGCAAACCTGTCACCAGGGATTTCTAAACCATTTGTCACTCGATGAAATCAGATTCACAGATTCGTCTCGAGTGAGCTGAAGTCGGATTGGCAAATTTCATCATCTATATTTTGTGAAAGCAGGCAAGTCTGCAACCTGTCGAGCATCATATGACAGGCAGTCGAGAGGACAAGTGGTGCCTTCAGATAGCCAGCAATGTAACACGATCGGAAAGCATCTAGAAAGATTTGGATATGCCTTGCGATCATGCGATTGATGAGGAATATTTTCTTCCAAACAGTAATATGAGTAGCGAGGGCAACCTTCACGGGCAATACAGTGTGCAGAGGACAAATATTAAAAGCGTCGGCATGTTCGCTTCGTCTTCGTTAGCTGTGAAAGAATACTTGGACCTGAATCGGCCATGTTAATGAATAATGAACGCGCCGTTTCAAGTGAGCATTCATGCTGTTCTAAAGCCGCGAAATCTTTCCCCTGAGTTGGATATACTTTGCTCAATGTGATCCATGGGTTCTCGGAAGGTCAGACTCTTTGTGTACTCAATATACCGATAGCTCATAGTGGGGATGGGACAAGTACATTTGGTACGAACTATCACTGAGAGAGATGGTGAGAGCTAATACCCATGAGGTATATTACATGTGCATGGGCTTTCGACTGAAAAAACCCAAATCTCAGGCCTTGGAAGCCATACTCGGATTGAAATCACCGTGAGACATTTCACTGAAGCGTAGGATGAGAAAATGTAGGGCAGAGCGGTTCTCTTCCGGAGAACGCCGAATCACGCCCGAAGGCTCATCAATTTTCCACCAGAAACTCCAACAATATACTCGATCAAAACAGCAACAACAAACGCACAACACAGCAGACAAACAGAACCGAAAACAAACAAACACAACAGCAAAAACAAGCAAAAACAGCAGAACAAGTGCGCCGACAAGTCCACGTGCATATTCACAGGTATTCCGACACCATATCCTCAATCCGACGTCTTGCCCGCTTCGTCATCACAGCTCTCTGGCCAGGCGGCAGAAGGTGTGCATACTGGCGCTTGGCGACTCGGGAGACGGCTTTTGAGGCAGCGTCTCCTAGGGCTTTGGCCACCTCGTCGATCTTGTCTGCGCCAAGCCCCTCCTTGCCAATACTGGCGGCTTCAGCGATGGCGGCGGCGGCTTTCTCTTCGGCGGAGTAACGACGGCGCGCAGAAGCCTCGGCCTTCGCCTTCGTCTTCTTGGCCAAGGCCAGCCCCGTCTCCCGAATCTTCTTGTACTTCTTGGTGGTCGGCGCGAGCGGGATTCCTGGTTGGGCAAAGAGGTCGCCCAGGACTCCGTCCAGAGACACGTCGGACTCGTTTCCGTCATCGGGCATCGGCGGCGGAGACGGGGTGCGGTTGCGCTTGTGCTCGGGCTCCTGGGAGAAGATGTGGTTGCCGTCGCGGCCGGGATCGGGCTTGATCTGGATCTGGCGGAGGGGAGAGGGAGCAAAGTCTTCGACGGCGGCGACGATCTGGGCGGCCCGGGGCTTCTCTGGGTCCGGGTTGGCCTCTGACTGAGGGAGAGCGGCGGCAGGCTGCTTTGCAAGGGGCGCCGGGGCGGGGAAAAGCACCTTTACACGCCGTAGGGCGGCTTCGGCGACACGCCTCGTGAGGCTTCTTGCGCGGTTCGCATCGACGATCTGCCAGAGTAAACCTCGGTTGGCTGCCACGGGCGACGGGGCCCAGAGGTCGGAAAGGGGGCGTCCTCCTGCATGGCTCTCCCAATGCTCCGTAAGGGTCACCATTGGCGTTAGGACATCGAGGGGCGGCGGGTCGGTGGTCGGGGTGCAGTTGGGGGGGTGCCATCGGCCGTTAGGCCAGTGGTTTCGGAGGAAGGCCAGATGGGTTTGCACCCTATTCTCGCGTGTGGTCGGCGTGACACCCTGGCTAGACAAATGGGTCGCGACACCTGTCGCATGATTCTGCGTGTGGTGGAGGAGTGCGGCAGCCTGGTGTCCGGTGATTGCTGGTGCTGCTGATGCTGCCCATTGACCAAGATTGGCGTTGGTCGGATGTTGGAGGAAGGGGTATCGGCTAATAGCGCTCTTTTCTGTGTGAGTTTCCAGTATTCTCAAGGATTCAATCTTGTCTGAACTCACGAGAGACCGATTACCAGCTGCGGGGTGGTTGTGCTGCTGCGGTTGCTGCTGGTGCTGCTGCGGCTGCTGCTGCTGCTGCGGATGATGATGATGCCCTGGCTGCTGATGGTCCTGCGGGCCTTGCTGGTAGCTGTCATTCGAATCCATGGTGGTTGCGAGCAGTCGAGTAGATGAGAAGAGAATGGTAGGAAGCGACAAAACAAGAGGACAACGTCGAGTAACAAAAGGAACGAACGGCCAAACACGGAACGCGCGAGAAAAAAGACGGACAGAGAGACGCAAACAAGCACGAGAGCTGTGGAATAGATCAAAGTTCGCGATGTCGATGGTTCCCGAGCATCTCAGGTCATGCCACTCCCAATATTCGTGACATTTCAATTTTTCCGCTGTCGTCTACCTGTGCGCACAGTGCGCCGGGCCGAAGCCCTCACTGTCAGCCCTACCCCTCTCTCCCGTTCTCACGATGGCAGGTACCGTCACGGGCTGCCCCAGAGCCGGTCCTTCCTTCCGTCGTCGTGTCAAACTTGGGAAAGTGCGGGGAGGCACTGTCGGTCCGCTTCGAGTCTTGGCCAACTTCCACCTTTCCTCATCCAACCCGCCGTCTTCTTCCGGTTCTTCAAGTCCGATCAACTCTCGCCGTCGCAAACATCACCAGCATCGTCCCTACTACCTACGCGGGTAGGCAAACTGTGAGTGTACTTTCCACTTGATTGATTCCAAACAATTGCCAACCATTCCCAGTCCATCGTGACTATGGAGTCGTCCCACGACGCCGCCGCGCCATCCTCTCCGATCCAGGTCCATTTGGAGCTCGACGATCGCGACGACATGGACGACCTTCTTCTTGACCAGCTCAATCCATTGTCCAACCTTGGCCATGACGATGACGACACCCGCTCATTTGCTGAGTACTCTCTGGCCAACGACCTGCCGATGCCCGACGACCCCGTGCCTGACCTCGAGACCCTGGACGAGACCAACTCCGCCGTTCAAACCCTCGAGTGTAAGAAGGAGGAGTCTGAGCCGCATTCCCCGTTTGGAACGCCCGAGCCGCAGCCCGTAAGAGACATCTCATGCGCTCCGTATGAACCCGCTAACCAAGCTCTTGCCAGATCAACCCTTGGAATGAGCATGATACCCGCACAGTGGGCAGGTTCCTCCAGAGCGCCCACGGCCCCTTGCCTGTCACTGCCATTGCCGAACACATGGGTCGCGACGTCGTAGATACCACAGCGATGCTTGTATGCGTGTGGCTGTCGGCGGTCAGGGTGTCCGAGGAGCGGAGCGCCCGCATTCCCTGGTGGGCCGGCCGGCCCGTTTTCAACTCCACTGGTTTCGGCCGAGTCTCCGTTTTTACACGGAAGGAAGGACGGATCTTGCTGCAACTTTACGATGCCCAGGGTCAGCTCGATGCGGAAGCACCGATTGAGAATCCCAGTCAGGTATACGATCAGGACATGGTTTGAACAGAAGGGCGTGGTTGTGTTGTTTTGTTTCGGAGTTTCGCGATCAGAGCCCAGCCAATGAAATGGAGTGGCGGCGCCTAAAAGGGATGTCCAAGACCACGTTTGCTGTATAAGGCGTCAAAAAACATACTAGAACTTCTGCCTGTGACCTGCAGCTTAGATTACATTGCCCTATTAATGAATAGCTTGAAGATAGTTTGTCCAATACGTTTGTGCAACGGAAATTGGCCTGATGAAAGTAAGAAATGCTCCCCTGTCGTTAGACGATAGTCACTACTCGGTCACTCTGAATATCTTGAACTATTCCACTCCAAGAGCTCAGCACTGTGACCCATACACCTCTGACATATCAAATGAGAACCCGTTATTTATAAAGTCTGCCCATTTCCCCTCAGGGGGCTGCATGATCTTAGTCGTAGGGTCCCTGTGGCAAATAATACCAACTCTCTGGAACAGAGAAGCAGTCCAAAAGTATTCAGCATCGTTAACAGGCCACAGTAAGATACGGACCATACTTGATGGTTCTCCGTTTGGGTGAAAGCGTGTAGGGATGCCGCCTTTCTCGACGTTGAGAATATCGAAAGCGTGGCATCGATCTAGCGAACCAGTTGAATGATCGAAACATTCCAGATCCGGTCTCTCGTGCTTTTGACTCAACGCGCTGAGAGTGCCTTTAAGTGTAATCAAACCGAAAACTTAACTTTAGGACTAATATGTAACAAAGGTATCGCACGAAATGACTGATGCCTTGCGCGTTTTCCTGCTTAGATGGTAAACATATGAATGGTCTACCTCTCTAGAACGGGACCCCTAAGTCTAGGTTAGACCTCTTAGATCTATTATGTCCAGCTGAGGAAGTCTCTAGCAAAGACTCTTAAGTAAGTTATCGCTTTTCTATATCCCCCTAATAAATTTATTATTAAGCACCACTTTAATTAATAGCTAGAAAGGCAGATATTCTATTAGAAGGATTTATTATTTTACGCTTTATAAAATTTTCCACTTATACCTGCTATACCTTTATGTTATAACCTATTATATATAGATAATAGTTAACTAACCTACTTAGGCGTTAGGTAGCTAGGATAGGATATTTATACTCTATAGGATTATAGGAATAATAGGGACTTACTTAGGAATAGAAGAACTATAGTATAGGTTATATAATAATAAGGAATAAGTATAAATAAGGGACCTATAATAAGTACTTAGTAGATACTAGAATAAGTACTTATCTTACTTTAGAATAAGTAGTTATAATAATAAGGGAAATAGCACTTATAAATAGTAGGACTATTTATATAGAGAGATCTATATATAGAATAACCTTAAGCCTAGCTTATAGTTAGACTTCTATAGCTCTTTAGTAATTAACTTAATATTTATCCTTATAGATACTTTTAGCTTACCTTTATTATAAATTACTTATAATATAAAGAAATAGCTACTAAAGGTTTAAAGTTAAAGCTAGCTATATAGAAAAAAAATTAATTTATATTAGGGGAGGTAGAAATAACTATAATTATAAAATTCTAAATATAGGTTTAGAAAACCTACTTAGTAAAAGCTAGTTCTTAGAATTATAAACTTAAGTTTAGAAATATAGTTTAGTAAAAACTAATTATTAGAATCTTAAACTTAAGTTTAGAAATCCTATTTAGTAAAAACTAGTTATTAAAATTCTAAATTTAAGTTTAGAAATCTTATTTAATAAAAACTAGCTATTAAAATTTTAAACTTAAATTTAAAAATATAGTTTAATAAAAACTAGCTATTAGAATTTTAAATTTAGATTTAGAAATATAGTTTAGTAAAAACTAATTATTAAAATTTTAAATTTAAATTTAGAAATATAACTTAATAAAAACTAACTACTAAAATCCTAAATTTAAGTTTAGAAATATAGTTTAATAAAAACTAACTATTAAAATCTTAAATTTAAGTTTAGAAATATAACTTAGTAAAAACTAGCTATTAGAATCTTAAACTTAAGTTTAGAAATCTTATTTAGTAAAAACTAGCTATTAAAATTCTAAACTTAAGTTTAAAAATCCTATTTAATAAAAACTAATTATTAGAATTTTAAACTTAAGTTTAGAAATATAACTTAATAAAAACTAGTTATTAAAATTTTAAACTTAAGTTTAGAAATCCTATTTAGTAAAAACTAGCTATTAGAATTTTAAATCTAAGTTTAGAAATCCTATTTAGTAAAAACTAGCTATTAAAATCTTAAACCTAAGTTTAAAAATATAGCTTAATAAAAACTAATTATTAAAATCTTAAATCTAAGTTTAGAAATCTTATTTAATAAAAACTAGCTATTAAAATTTTAAACTTAGGTTTAAAAATCCTATTTAGTAAAAACTAATTATAAAAATCTTAAACTTAAGTTTAAAAATATAGCTTAATAAAAACTAGCTATTAGAATCCTAAATCTAAGTTTAGAAATCCTATTTAATAAAAACTAACTATTAGAATTTTAAACTTAGGTTTAAAAATCCTATTTAGTAAAAACTAATTAATAGAATTTTAAACTTAAGTTTAAAAATATAGCTTAATAAAAACTAGCTATTAGAATTTTAAACCTAAGTTTAAAAATATAACTTAATAAAAACTAGCTATTAAAATCTTAAACTTAAGTTTAGAAATATAGCTTAATAAAAACTAACTACTAAAATCTTAAACCTAAGTTTAGAAATATAGCTTAATAAAAACTAGCTATTAGAATCTTAAGCTTATATATAAAAAGGTATATAGTAGTTAGTAACTTTTAAAATATTAAACTAATAATATAAGGAAATAGCTGCTAAAGGTTTAAAGTTAAGGCTAGCTATATAGAAAAAAAATTAATTTATATTAAGGGAGGTAGAAATAACTATAATTATAAAATTCTAAATATAGGTTTAGAAAACCTATTTAGTAAAAGCTAGTTCTTAAAATCTTAAACTTAAGTTTAGAAATCCTACTTAGTAAAAATTAGCTATTAGAATCTTAAATTTAGGTTTAAAAATCCTATTTAGTAAAAATTAGCTATTAGAATTTTAAACCTAAATTTAAAAATCTTATTTAGTAAAAACTAACTATTAAAATCTTAAACTTAAGTTTAGAAATCCTACTTACTAAAAATTAGTTATTAAAATCTTAAACTTAGGTTTAAAAATCCTATTTAGTAAAAACTAGCTATTAGAATCTTAAATTTAGGTTTAAAAATCCTATTTAGTAAAAATTAGCTATTAAAATCTTAAACTTAAGTTTAGAAATTTTATTTAGTAAAAATTAGTTATTAGAATCTTAAACTTAAGTTTAGAAATCCTATTTAATAAGAATTAGCTATTAGAATTTTAAATTTAAGTTTAAAAATCCTATTTAGTAAAAATTAGCTATTAGAATCTTAAACTTAGGTTTAAAAATCCTATTTAATAAAAACTAATTATTAGAATCTTAAATTTAGGTTTAAAAATCTTATTTACTAAAAATTAGTTATTAAAATCTTAAACCTAAGTTTAGAAATTCTACTTAGTAAAAACTAACTATTAAAATCTTAAACTTAAGTTTAGAAATCCTATTTAGTAAAAACTAGCTATTAGAATTTTAAACTTAAGTTTAGAAATCCTATTTAGTAAAAATTAATTATTAAAATCTTAAACTTAGGTTTAAAAATCTTATTTAATAAAAATTAACTATTAGAATCCTAAACTTAAGTTTAAAAATCCTACTTAATAAAAATTAGCTATTAGAATTTTAAACTTAAGTTTAAAAATATAGTTTATTAAAAACTAACTATTAAAATCCTAAACCTAAGTTTAAAAATATAGCTTATTAAAAACTAGCTATTAGAATTTTAAACTTAAGTTTAGAAATCTTATTTAGTAAAAATTAATTATTAAAATCTTAAACTTAGGTTTAGAAATATAACCTACTAAAAACTAGTTATTAGAATTTTAAACTTAAATTTAAAAATATAGCTTACTAAAAACTAGCTATTAGAATTTTAAACTTAAGTTTAAAAATCCTATTTAGTAAAAATTAGCTATTAGAATTTTAAACTTAGGTTTAGAAATATAGCTTAGTAAAACTTAGCTATTAGAATTTTAAATTTAAATTTAGAAATCTTATTTAGTAAAAATTAGTTATTAAAATCTTAAACTTAAGTTTAGAAATCTTATTTAGTAAAAATTAGCTATTAGAATCTTAAATTTAAGTTTAAAAATATAACTTATTAAAAATTAGCTATTAGAATTTTAAACTTAAGTTTAAAAATCTTATTTAGTAAAAACTAGCTATTAGAATTTTAAACTTAAGTTTAGAAATATAGTTTATTAAAAACTAGCTATTAGAATTCTAAACTTAAGTTTAGAAATATAGTTTACTAAAAACTAGCTATTAGAATCTTAAATCTAAGTTTAGAAATCCTATTTAGTAAAAATTAGCTATTAGAATCTTAAACCTAAGTTTAGAAATATAGTTTATTAAAAACTAGCTATTAGAATTTTAAACTTAGGTTTAAAAATCCTATTTAGTAAAAACTAGTTATTAGAATCTTAAATCTAAGTTTAGAAATTCTATTTAGTAAAAATTAGCTATTAGAATCTTAAACCTAAGTTTAGAAATATAGTTTACTAAAAACTAGCTATTAGAATTTTAAACTTAAGTTTAAAAATCCTACTTAGTAAAAACTAGTTATTAGAATCTTAAGTTTATATATAGAAAGGTATATAGTAGCTAGTAGCCTCTAAAATATTAAACTAATATTTAGAAAACTAGTTTAATAGCTATTTATAGTACTAAAGGCTTTTAAAGTAGCTAGTTAAATAGAAACTATAAATAATATATAATAAAGTAAGTACTAATTATAAGTATTATTTATAAAGAACTAATAATAATATACTAGAATCTATATATATATAGAACGAAAGGATAGAGGAAGTTTAAGAGTAATAATAAGAGGATAGAAAAAAGTTATTTTAAGATATAGAAAGGATAATTAGATATATTAT